TGCAGGGCTGACTGGCAGCCATTGCTGTTTGCTCCACCCTGATGATTCCCTGAGACCCCACCCCACCCCACCCAATTTACAGCTCACCCAAGCTGTGAGCAGCGGCTTTTGCATATGAATGGCCTGTCCTTGCTCAGGGTAAACTCTGTCAAACAAGCTGCAGCTGGGTCAGAGAGCTCCAAACCTATCAATAAAAGGCCCAAGATCTGGCATCAGCACCAGCCTGCCTTGCTTCACAGCTGTGCCTCGTCTGGTCACTTCCAAACCTGATACAAAGAGGAGGAATCTGCAGATCTCTCTGTAGCTCCTGCTGGGTGGCCCCAGGCAATCTGACTTCGCACCTCCCTGGAGACCCAAGAATCAGTGTACCCAGTGGTCAGTGTGAGACCATACCAGATTACAACTCTTCACATCCATAAGCAACACACTCAAGGGGCAGACTCAGTGAGCACCAAAGCCCCACTGAAGCAAATCCTGTTCCATAAGGATTTCTCCTGCACAGCAGCTCTCCCACTGTAGTGGCATCTGGTCCCCACAGCCAATTGGCCTGGAAGTCAATTCCTCCCAGTGACACCAACAGCAATCAAGGCTCAACTACAACAAAACTGTGCATACTGTATGGATCCTCTGTCAAGTAATAATAGCAGAATTATAGTGAGACCTAGAGTTTTGAACAAAATTGATTCTGTCTGCAAATAAACAATGCCTTTTTGAGAACTGTCTCCTGGATATTTGATATCAAGTTGATTAAACTGTACCCCATCCATAACAGAGGAGAAAGAGATTGCCTGCACTGGAACTGACACCCCGCTGGATCTGAATTTGCCTTTCAATCCATGATACTTTTGCTGTAGCCCCAAACTATGGACTTACAGGATGCTGTATTCACGCGTGGTGTTCTAGCATATCTTTCAGATCAAGAAACTCAATTTCCTATGGTGCCAGTACCCCAAATATGTATGGTGCCAGTTGGGATACTAGAAATATTTAGGGGAACACTATGTAAAGTATATGATTATCTAACCACTAAGCTGTACACCTGAAACTAATACAAAAGAAAATTGAAATAAAAGAAATAAGAAACAGAAAAAAACCCTCATTTCCCAGCGAAAGAGTGTGGAATGAACTCATTCATGCTGAATTTATTCTTCTTACTACATACTCCTTTGCATAAAAGCAGATAGCTTAATAGGACTATGGAATGGCATACTAAAGACTTTTTGAAACCAGCTAAGAGTGCATGACCTCTAAGAATGGGGTTCTATTTTATAGGATGCAGATATGCTTTGACTCAGTACCCAATGTCAAGGAGGGGGAGAATCCACCACACCCCTACTTTAGTTCTTATAGCTGGATTAGTAATAAAAGAATGTAATTGACTCAAGTCTTGATTAACAGGAGAAAAACCAACTTAATACATGTGGATGGAAGAATCACAGTAAGATGCTCAGATCACAAAATGAGGCTCAAAGAAATGAGAGAACCAGGCACCTTTATTCTCTTCGACAAACAATACATTTGTGATAAATTTACAGGGCAAAGAATATTAATGCTCATTAGAAAGGGGTCTAAGCAAGATCGGGTTTTCATTAATGAAGAATTTAAACATATAGCAAGTCAGAAAAGAGGCAATCAGGCTTGATTAAGCCTCGCTGATATGGTTTAGTGGTTGAGCATTGACCTATGAACAAGCAGGTCATGGTTTCAGACTCTATCTCCAGTAGGGGACCTGCAGAAGGTAGAAGATCAATAATTCTCTCTCATCATTCATGTTTCTATCTTCCTCCCCTTTCCTTCCTCTCTGAAATTAAAACAACAACAACAAAACATAAAAAAGAGATTTGATTAAAACGAATTTTCAGCTCTGAGTTGTTTAACTCTAATAATAAGGGTGTGTTCCAGGAGTGGGGAGGACATCTTTCACATTGGAGATTTATTTCCTGCATTAAAAAAGCCAAGGTATGTCCAGGTGCCCTTCTGGCACCGGATGCATATGAAGTAACTTTAATTCAAAGTAATCAATATATCATTGTGGGATATTTTGGGGTGGCCTATCCTGAACTCTAAAAGTTCCCTGGAAGTTTCACCTATAAAAAGATGGGCTGGAGGCTTCAGAGAGAGAGAAAATGGGTTAAAATCTGAGTCGTAAAATATCTACAAAGAGAGAGAAAACAATTATAACGAGGACAAACAAACAGAAGAGAACGAACTGGATCACATTTTCCCATACCCCATTAAATCAGTCTCTGATTTCTAGAAATAAGTCAGTCCAATACAGTGTCTCTGCTTTATTTATCTGGTGGAAGATATTAATCCTCCCTTTTAATAGACTTAGGTTAGATACTCAATGTCCCATTTGGTTTACATAGAACATTCTTCACTGATGATTGCACAGGCTTCTTCTTGCTGGGCAGTCAGTGTATCCAGGGCCTGAGGAGTTTGGAGCACAACAAAGACTAAGCTATTAACTTCTGACTTGCAGTCTTCCCCAAATTTGCATAGTGGCATTGAACTCTTGTTCTATTACCATGAAGACATTCAAGATCACTTTTTCCAATTTATAATTTCCAAAGCTGAGGAATAAGACCCTCAACCCTGAAAGGTACTTGGAATTATGACACACGAGTGGATTTGCTCCAATTTCTCGACTGGCACATTGTTGTGGCACATGTTTAGGAACAAAGCTGCCTGAATCTGTAATTTGGCTGGCATTTACTGCAGAGTATTTAGGGACAGAAAGAGACCTGGCTCAGTTATCCAAGTCCCTATCATCCTAAGCATTTAGGTGGGAACCCTTTATATACTTTATTGTCACATAATGTAAAAAGACCATGAGGTTTACCAATCAGGTCAAAGTGAAGTCTATAATTCCTAGGACCTGAAATATCTCATGATTTTATTCAGCATTGGTACATCTTGGCAATCTATGAGAGCAGAGCAGACTGCAAAAGCACTGGTATAGAAGGTCTATCGTCTGTTTTTGGCAGCTATATAGCTTGATTCTGTTAGTTGGCTAAGTAGGTCCAGATTTTTGGTTCATGCCTATATGGTGTGGTATTCAGCAGCTAAATCACAGGAGCAGCTACAATATCCCAAGTTTCACCAAAACATTTGGTGATTTGAGAGATATTTGTCATCAATAAGGTAATGCTACAGTCACGTATAAACTCCTTGGCACTTTTGAAGATGGCATCTATGGAATCAAACCACAGAATTTGATTGCAATGTTATTATGGTATGTTACCCAGGAAAAGTCCAATATGATGGCAGAAACTCTGATAGCCCCATGCTGGAAAATTAGTGGGGTGTGAGTTTATTTGTAATGCATAAGCAGCATTGCTGTTTATAAACCAGATTATGGTGATGACACCTGAGAAGGACATTGGGAAAATCTGGCATGTAGTGCCCTAGAGTAGGAGTTCAAAGTTGTTCTTAAAAGGACCAATACACATAGTTACAAATAAATATAACTTTGTCTTTTCATACATGCTACAAAGAATTAGTGTTATCTTTTTGTGTAAAAGAATCAAAGAACAAGAGTCAGAGACAAAAATTTGAAGTGATGGCAACATACCTGAGTGGCTTTATTAGGTTTATTACATACAAGTTAGAGACTGTAACCATATTTGCTGGTTGCATTCTGAAAAGTAATTTTCTGCTATAACAAAATTTCATTTTAATTCTACTTTAATACAATAAATAAAATGCTCCTTCATGTCTCATTCAGATGTTTCGATTTGCTAGAATAGATAGAATGGACTTTTCAATTTAGAAATAAATGAATCAATGATGCCATCATTAATACAAAATGATTGTATGATTTGAGAAATATTTTGAAGGAGATAAAGTGGTCAATTTATTAAGAAACTATTTGTGTTTTATATTTGCAAGCCTACAAATATAGGATGATCTGTTTAAGAGAACACATTTAAGGTTTTTAATATATACTAGAGGCCTGATGCACGAAATTCATACAAGGGTAGGCCTTCCTTCCTGCCAGCACTGGCTTCTCTCTGGCACCCGGGACCCGGGCTTCCCTCTCAGCCCCGCCTTCATCTGGAAGGTTGTCCAGAAGGATGTCCAGTCTAATTAGCATATTATGCTTTTATTATTATAGATTTATTTTGTGTTTATTTTGATATATTTATATATTATTTCCATCTCAATTTAATTTCTCTTTTCTTTGAAATTATATTATATTTTTACTACTTAGTTTCCCCACAGATATGTGCATTTCCAGGTAAAGGCAGTAAAAATTGATATGCTTTTATAATTTATCTTGCTGCCATCTCTTCCCCCGTTTGTGCAGGAATCCAGGAACGCTCATTGTTTCCTTGCCTGCTTATTTGGCTTCAAGATACTGAGCCTATTCCTTACTAGCAATTCAGACTTCTCTGCTTAACTGTCTACCTTGGGAGGATGACCATAAAACTTTATTACATGGATTCCCTTGCCTGTGAGATTTTGATTGGATCCCAGTGATGAAAGCAATAGGAGAAGGAGAGAGCTATGGGTACTATCCTGCTCTCCCCACGGTGGGGGCTGTGTTATGGTGCAGTAGTTATGTCCCTTCACAGCAACAGGTCCCACTGGTGGCTTTTTGTTCACTCTCTCCACTCTCACTCAGACTCTGGTGTTAGTGTTTGATCCTTCTGCCCCATCAAGTCTCAGCACACTACCAGCTCACTGTGGCTAGACCCAAAATGCCTCAACATCCTTTGTTGGTTCACTAATCCTGTTCATTATATTTAAGAAGATCCTTTATTAAATGTCTTTTTTTTTTAAATTAAGGGCTTCTGGTTTATTCTGGGAAAATGACATATCAGCTGTTGGTAGGTAATAAAATATAGGATAGAGTGGTAGTTATTATGACAGCAATTGGTGCTTATTGTTGCTCAAATAGTACTTTATTATGTTGGTGTGTTGGTTAGATCAGGGTTGATTCCAATGACGTAGCTGCAGTTTATTTTTCCTAACAGCTCAGAGCATTTATCATATCTTCAACCAAAATAGGAAGCAAAATTATCCCAAAAACGCTTTATAGCTGCTTGGAAAGCTGCTTTAGTGCTTAATGTAGTGTGTTTGGGAGTTGTCACTTGGATAGTGGTACTGGGCAATGGGGTAGAGGGAGAGTTAGTGGTAGATGCTGAGGGGGTTGCTGCTGATGTTGTGGTAGTGAGGTCTGTTGAAGTGGTAGGTAGTGTTAAGGAGGTGGTGGCTTCAGTTGTGGTGATGGTTGTAGTAGTTGGTTCTGTGGAAGTGGTGGTGGCTATTGTTGTGGGAGATTCTGTGGAAATGGTGGTGGTTGTGATGGTTGTGGGTTCTGTGGAAGTGGTGGTGGTTGCTGTTGTGGGAGGTTCTGTGGAAGTGGTGGTGGTTGCTGTTGTGGGAGGTTCTGTGGAAGTGGTGGTGGTTGCTGTTGTGGGAGGTTCTGTGGAAGTGAGGGTGGTTGCTGTTGTGGGAGGTTCTGTGGAAGTGAGGGTGGTTGATGGTGTGGGAGGTTCTGTGGAAGTGAGGGTGGTTGCTGTTGTGGGAGGTTCTGTGGAAGTGAGGGTGGTTGCTGGTGTGAGAGGTTCAGTGGAAGTGAGGGTGGTTGCTGTTGTGGGAGGTTCTGTGGAAGTGAGGGTGGTTGCTGTTGTGGGAGGTTCAGTGGAAGTGAGGGTGGTTGCTGGTGTGGGAGGTTCTGTGGAAGTGAGGGTGGTTGCTGTTGTGGGAGGTTCTGTGGAAGTGGTGGTGGTTATTGTTGTGGGAGGTTCTGTGGAAGTGAGGGTGGTTGCTGTTGTGGGAGGTTCAGTGGAAGTGAGGGTGGTTGCTGTTGTGGGAGGTTCTGTGGAAGTGGTGGTGGTTATTGTTGTGGGAGGTTCTGTGGAAGTGAGGGTGGTTATTGTTGTGGGAGGTTCTGTGGAAGTGAGGGTGGTTGCTGGTGTGGAAGGTTCTGTGGAAGTGAGGGTGGTTGCTGTTGTGGGAGGTTCTGTGGAAGTGAGGGTGGTTGCTGGTGTGGAAGGTTCTGTGGAAGTGAGAGTGGTTGCTGTTGTGGGAGGTTTTGTGGAAGTGGTGGTGGTTATTGTTGTGGGAGGTTCTGTGGAAGTGAGGGTGGTTGCTGTTGTGGGAGGTTCTGTGGAAGTGAGGGTGGTTGCTGGTGTGGGAGGTTCTGTGGAAGTGGTGGTGGTTACTGTTGTGGGAGGTTCTGTGGAAGTGAGGGTGGTTATTGTTGTGGGAGGTTCTGTGGAAGTGAGGGTGGTTGCTGGTGTGGAAGGTTCTGTGGAAGTGAGGGTGGTTGCTGTTGTGGGAGGTTCTGTGGAAGTGGTGGTGGTTATTGTTGTGGGAGGTTCTGTGGAAGTGAGGGTGGTTGCTGTTGTGGGAGGTTCTGTGGAAGTGAGGGTGGTTGCTGGTGTGGAAGGTTCTGTGGAAGTGAGGGTGGTTGCTGGTGTGGGAGGTTCTGTGGAAGTGGTGGTGGTTACTGTTGTGGGAGGTTCTGTGGAAGTGAGGGTGGTTGCTGTTGTGGGAGGTTCTGTGGAAGTGGTGATAGTTGTAGTGGTGGTGGGTTCTGTAGTGGTAGGGGTTGTGGTTCTAGGTTTGGGAGTTGTTTTAATTGGGGGTTGAGGCTTATCAGGATTTGGAAAATTGGGATATAAGGGTTTTGGCTTCCTAATAGGTACTGGAGGGTAAGGTCTTGGTTGAAAAGGTGAATTTGGATAAACTGGAAAAGGTCGAGGTTGTCTAATAGGGTTTGATGGAAGGGGTCCAAAGGGAGGAGGAGGAATGTTCTGAAAAAAAGGGGGCTGAAAAAAAGGAGGAGGGTGGGGTGGTGGAATAAATCCTGGGCCATAGGGAGGATTACGGCCTGGTGGAAACCCTCTTGGCGGGGGCAGACCGGGTGGTGGCCGCAGGACAGGTCCGTAGGGTCCCCTGGGAGCTCTCTGGCTGTCACTGGGCTGTGGTGATAAAAATCAAACAGAAACACAAAAATAAGGTTTTAAATTTGATCACTTAAATTTCTAACATTAGCATATGTAATTTAAAATCTCATACAGTCATATATTTCATTGAAAAAATAAGTTAGAAGAAAGAGTAGACTATTTTCCTCCCTTCCGGAACTCTAGCACTCAGTAAAAAGTGCTAAACAAAAGATACCTTTACTTTCAGACCTAAAGGTTTTAGAGGGGATGAAATTACCATGATTAACTAATGAAAATGGCTACCTTTGGAAGTTGGTTCAAATGGAAGTAAGTGCTCCGGTGTAATGACTAGCATACATTTGGTCTTGCCCAAGATTTCCACAGAGACATTTGGTCCATATCAACCCATGTACCTCATCCCATGTGCTATGACCACCTAGGCTCCCGAGGTGAGAAGGGTCATTATTGGCAATGCAGCCATAACACAATTATTGAACCAATAAAACATGGTAGTCTTTTTTAATGTATTAATCCTGTAAACCAAACGTATAAATAAACATTCTGGGCTGTTTGGACCCAGGCACATTTTCTAAGCATGGATAGTTTGGATAGGACTAAATTTCAAAAATCTTTTGGGATGGACCAAATGTTCCTGTGGACACTTTGCACAGGACCAAATACCCGACAAGGCAGTAGAACTACTTGGGGATGTTTTTTCTTACTCCCCATTCCAAGAAATCAGTGATATTCCAGGCTCTGAACCATTAGTTAATTGTGTTTATTGAGAAACTATTATATATAACACATCTTTTAGGGGCTAAGGAAAACATATTTAAGATATGAACCCCTGCTTACATAAGTCTGAAATCTAGTAGAAACCAAAAGCCCCCAAACCACAACCCAAACAATACAATAAAAAGTCTGTAGGAAGCAGTGTGATGTGTTACTTAAGACAAAGACACTGAAGTCTGATTGTTAGAACCAATCCTTCCTCTGTAGTAAGCTAGCGGAGGTGCTTACACTCTCTCTGCCATGGTCTCATTTCTGAAATAATTCTAGAAATAGTTCTGATCTTATACAGTGGTTGATAAGATTATGCATAATTTATGCATAGTGCTTAGACATAGTAAATAAAGTAAGGAATCAATATACATTTGAGCTATTTCATACTCTATGATTGCCAGGGTAGCAATTGCCAATTTGCATATATGACAGCAGTTCAAATTATAACTGAGAAATGTGCAAAAAATTCTATATGCAATAGCAATTTGAAGGGAAAGTATATTTTTAACAAAAGAGAGATTAAAAGTTGTCTAGTAGAAAAAATAGCATTTAAAATGAGGCTTAATTAATAGAGTAGAAATGGGGATGGAGGAAATAAAATTAGATGAATTTTATAAGCCAATGAACAGTGTCAGGAAAATACAAATCCTATTCTAGAATCAGTCAAAACACCAGTTTGAACAGAAGTTTCAATCACTCTTGCAGCATTCAACTTCTTGCCTCTGTGTCTTTCTTCCATATTGACTTAGGCAACATCAAACTTTTAGATCAACTCTAGACAATTTACCTTCTCTGTTTCTACTTGCAGGCTGGTGAACATTGCAAGAGAATCTCGCCAATCCCTAAATATTAGAAACACTAGAGATGCACAGTGTCTCCCCTCATCTGGTGTCTCAGCAGTGCTAATTCATTCTTCCTTATTTCCCCCAAAAGGCTGTCTTCTCAACATCCACACGCCTTCTCTAGCTCTCTTCCCTCCCACTCCCTAGAAAGATGATCTTGCCTTCTATTTCACAAAATTGAGGCTATCACTTGGAGGAGTTTGCTTTTCTGCCCACACACCTATAAAACCCACCTATATACAGTTGTTCTCCCTTCCTGTTTACATCCAACTTCTTCACCTGTTTTCAGTATGGATCGATCTCTTCCTTCCGATGGCCTTCTCTTAATTATCACTTTCCCCTTCAACCTCTTTTTTATTTCAGGCTTTATGGTCTCAGGCTATATAATTTCAATTTACATCTCATATACTAAAGTAGCTCATTGACCACCTAGTGTACCCCTGCACTATCATCACTAGGTTACCCCTTTCCATTCCTAGCCAGATATTGGGGAAGGCTGTACTAGATTTCCTGTTTCTACTTCCTAATATCCAATTTGCTATTTATCCTGGAATCTATTCCCAACACACAACCACATCTCTTTTTACAAAGATCAGCAATGACTCAATAATGACACGAAGAATTTAGCATAGAATTTGGCCTATTTTGATTGTCAATGAAACTAAAAGTTACTTTTTGTAAACTTATTAATAATGTGGGCTAATTTTATGATTATTTTATAAATGATATATTAGGCTTTTACATGCCCTATTGCCTCGGAATGTGCCTCTGTCGCTCAGGAGTTAACAAACGAAAGCTGTGGGCTCAAGGCAGCCTGCCTGGTTTGGTAAATAAAATTTTATTGGGACACAGTCATACTTATTTGTTTATTGTGGCTGCTTTTGTTCTTCCTAGGCTGAGTTGATTGGTTGGATTAAGAGACTTTATGGCCCACAAAGCCTAAAATATTTAGTACCTGACCCTTTTGGGAAAAAGTTTGTTAATCTCTGGCTATTATTTCCAATCTACCCTGTATTCTCAGACAGATTTTGTACAAGACTATTACACTACTGTCAACGGGTAGCATTAAATAAATATTTATGGGTGCTGTTCAGATATTTAGGAGTTTCTTTTTCTGACAAACATCACCGAATATGGGAAGTGAGGGTGTGTGGGAAGAGATTATATCTAAACCTGATTTCATGCACTAGTATCTTTTCACATCACTCGAAGTAAAATCCCAAGCTAGTGAAAGGCTTATGACACTCTATGCTACCTAATTCTTCTCTATCCCTGTGCTCTCACCTTCTGATCCTGTCTTCCTTTCTGACTCTGTTTGAGGCCTACTTGTTCCTCATGAGAGATATGCCTGCCAGTTTTGGCATTTCCTGTTTTCTCTCATTGTCTAGTTTGCTTTTTCACCTCCTTCAAGTCTCTAATTAAATGTCATTTTGTACCTCACTGTCCTATCTAAAATTGCAACTTTGTTCTATTCCCCTCTTACCCCTCCTAAGAGTCACCATTCTCTCCTCCCTTTCCTGCATTACACATAAGCTCCATGATGTTAGTAAGGTTTTGTCTACTTTGCTCACTGCCATTTACCCAACATCTCAAATAGTACATGGTAGACAGCAGGTGTTTAATAAATATTTCGTGGTGAATGAATTACATGAGTTAGTGATAAGCAGAAATTACCCTAACTTGAATTGTCTAATTCCCTCCTTGTACAAGGTAAGGAGTGTAAGGCTCTTTCCTTGAAGGTATTTGAGGGGAGCAAATACTTAAGTCCTCATTTTTTCTAATTTTGGTTTTATGACTTCTGCTGACTAGGGCCTTGCAATCAAAATGTGAGTCACTGACCAAGATCATCAACAACATCACCATCTGAGAGCTGGTTAAAAATGTAGACTCCTGGGCCCCATTCAGGTCTAGTACCTTTTCTACACAATCCTCTGGTGATTTGTGTGCCTTTTAGAATTTGTGGAATTTTAGAAATGCCAGGTGGCCTATGTTATTTGAAAACTGCTTATAGATTGTTCAATTCTGACTAGGGGTTTGATTCATTTATGCTGAGTATCACTTGTTTTTTCTTATACTCTTTCATTTTTTTCTGCTTTTTGTTCTTAAAGATTATAAATTGCCACCCTTACTGTTCTTTTCCAAACAGCTTAGTGGACAGAATGTGCTGCCTTTAGTTATCTTGTGTGCCTAGTGGATATCTCTTGTCAAATATTGACCCTTTGTCTTGAAGCTTAGACTTGGCTGATTATCCATCCCCACACCATACTTCCGATATCTTATAAAATGGCATGCATGAGTGGATAAGAGTCAGATACTTATTTGTTAGTCATACAGTCAACTACACAGAAGCAATCTGAATAACTTGTTTCATTGTTGAGGGTTCACCTCATTTGCTGCTCTATGCTACATGTATGTGCAGCCCAAGTACCTGTCTGGCGTTCCAGGGTTTTTGCAAAGTTAAATTCTCATGTGAGAAAAATCCATGTATTAAATTCATGTTTTTTTAGGACATCCTCTTCTTCTTATATAAATCAGATTCTATAATTTTATAAACTAGAAAATAATTTGTCTTAATTTGCATTAGTCTTGCAGTTCAGACTTCTCGAATAGAAATGTGCCATTAGTTTGTAAGAATCTTTTAAGACTCTTCAAGAATGATGTTTTGCATACGTCTCCTTAGAAGTTGCCTATTATCAGTATGAAACAGAGGGTTGTAGGAAAGGGAACAAAGATAGCATTTTCTCTCTTATTGTCTCTGAAGATTGCTCCATCAACAATGTTAGATAACTTTTTATCTAACTTTGTCAACTTTGCTTGCCTATGGAACTTTCTTTATCTTCTAATCTATTAACATTCTTAGGAAGTCTGAAGCATAATTTGTTAATGTGGTCAGAGGAGTCATATTTGCCACAATGTATGGGGGAATGCTTCAAAAAAAAGTGGTTTATTCTAGCATGATAAATTTGATGATTAATTATAATCATTGACCTAAGAATTTTTCATTTGATTTTTGATTTCAGGTCAATTTATTTTAACATTTTCCTTTAGATACCTGATGTAATTATAACACAATAGGATCAGAAGTTAATTTCAAAAATGTATTTGCATAATCTCAAACGTCAGCATGCATAAGAATCTTCTAGAACATAGGTTCCCAAGCCCGAAGCCAGATTTTTTTTTTCTTTCAGTTCTTGGATAGGTTCTGAAAATATACATTCTGAACAATTAGATCACATGTTTTTTTAATACAGATTCCCATGAAAAGAAATATTTTTCCATTTTAACATCATATTATAAATTAGAATATAGTGAAAATGAACCACTTGTCCAAGAATATTTACACAGATTCATTAAATTTACTAGAATAATAATTCTACTTCATGTGCTTATACTCTTGAAAGTTCTTATTAACGTATATTTGTTCACTGTGTAATGTACACAATTACTAAATAGTTTCTTTTAGGAATTTACTATGAAATGAAGACTTAATCTATGAAGCTCCTGATTTTGAATTCAACACTGGTACTTTTTGTGTCATTCAGTACTGGGCTTAGCACACAGTAGGCTGTCAGAAATTATTAAAAATATGATCTCACTTATATGTGGAATCTAATGAACAAAATAAACCCAGAGACAGAGAAGCAGGAAACAGGCTGTGGAATCTCAGAGGGAAGGTGGGTGGGTGAGAAGAGATCAACCAAAGAACTTGCATGCATACATGCATAACCCATGGACACAGACAATAGTGTGGCGAAGGCCTAAGGCAGGGAGTGCAGGTGGGCTAGAGGGGTCAATGGGGAAAAAAGGGAACATCTGTAATACTTTCAACAATAAAAATTAAAAAAAGTGAAACATACTTTGAGCACTCTCTCTCCTCTCTGTCATCCCAATACCAGCACATACTATGGTAATTGTTATTTCTCTGAGGTTCATATTATTCCATTGATGTTTCTGGCTATGGAACTTATTCCTTCCTTCTTTGCATTATATATTTTGGAGTCTACCAAGTGCTTTTCAAAAATTTGAATGAATGTATTTCTAGAGAAGATGACCTTTTTTATTTTCTTTCTTGTTTTTATTTTTCCTTAAGTGGAAAAGTAGAGTGGAGTAAACAATAACGTAGGAATTTACTCCTCAGTCAATGAACAGAAACATGTTAACTGTAACCAATGTATTTTTGGAGATTTAGAAAATTTACAAATATTTTCTTAAAATATATTTTTTCTTGATCTCAGAGAGGAAGGGAGAGGGAGAGAGATAGAAATATCAATGATGAGAGAGAATCATTGATTGGCTGCCTCCTGCATGCCCCTTCTGGGGATCCAGCCTGCAACCCAGGCATGTGTCCTTGATCAATTGAACCTGCAGCACTTTGGTCCATAGGTTGATGCTCTACTCCTGAGCCAAACCGGCCAGGGCTATAAATATTTTTAACAAAAATGATTATAAAATGATCTGTGAATTAATGTATCTTGTTATCCTTCTAGAAAATTTATCTTGAACTTTCTATTTTCCCATAGCCTTACAACATTTAGTAAATTTCAGTTATATTTTTCTGATTGATTGTTGTGCTTTTGAAAAAAAAGAAGAGATGTTCCTAGATAAAGAGATAGCTTTCCCAGATTCTACCTGCTTTCTATCCCTTCAATACTCAAAATTACTGGCCAGAAAGTCATATGAAAAAAGGAAAGAAAAAAGAAAATAGGGCCTGGTTGGTGTGGCTCAGTGTTTGAGCATCCCAGTCAGGGCACATGCCCAGATTGCAGGCTCTATCACCAGTAGGATGTCTGAAGGAGGCAGCTGATCAATGGTTCTCTCTCATTGATGTTTCTATCTCTCTCCCTCTCCCTTCCTCTTTCTGAAATCAATAAAAAACATATTTTTTTAAAAAGAAAGT